TCAGCCTCGTCTTCAGAACTACCTAAGTGTGACCTCAGTTGTTCCTGGAACCTACTTTTGGTTTTCTCGTTACTCAACTCAGTTCTAATGGGTCTTTTTAATGTGGCTTTTTTGCGTCCAGTGAGGCGCAAGCAGATGCGTGCCCGTATTAGGGCATGGTCGGAGTCCAAGCAGGTACTCCAGAATGAGCGACAATCTTCTACCGACCCTCTCCAACGATGACTGATGGCAATATGGTCTATTTGAGTCCATCGTTGGTTTGGTGTAGGGGGTCGCCATGTTAGACGATGTCTCTCCTTATGCTTAAAATTTGTGTTTGCTAAAAATAAACGATTGTCTGAGCACAGTTGCAGCAGACGATCACCATTATCTGTTCGCTGTGCCGGAATACTAAAATATCCACCTAAATGCCTTTCTGTTTGGTTTAAACTACCTATCTGAGCATTAAAGTCACCTGCTACGAGTACTATGTCTGAGCGTTTAGCTTTCTGAAGAAGTTCAGATAGCTTTCTGTAAAATTCATCTTTCACTTCATCTGAGCTGCAGTCAGTGGGAGCGTAGGCAGAAACGACAAAAAGGCAACGACGTGTGTCCCTATCCTTCCGAGTTCTTACGGAGCCGTTTAGCCGAACAGCACATAGACGACTGTTGACGGGGATCCACTCTAGCAGTGCTTGTTCCGCCCTCATGCTTAGTGCTATGCCTACACCTGCCAGTCCACGAGAACTGGCCATCGGGTCACCAGATACACGGAGGGTGTATCTCGTTGGCTCTCCGTTTGCCGAGGTGAGGTCAAGTGAATGACCACACTGGAATCCTGTATGCGTGTTTCGGAGACACAGCATACATCAATGGAAAGAGACTCTAGGGTTTTAGCCAAGGAAGCCTGCTGACCGATTTGACATAGGGTGCGTACGTTGAAGGCTCCAATGTGTAGTTTGGAGCGAGGTTTCAGTAGACCTGGGACAGTGTTTTGAGCACTAGAATCGTTGGCTATGGTGACACTTGGGGGGAAGCCGAAGAGGAAATTTAGAGTTGAAAGTCGATGTAGGAGGAATAATAGGAATTGAAGAGGAGGTTGATTATGAATACAGTGGTCTTGAGTGCTGTTAGAGTATGAGGGCGGTTATCACTTCCCGGTTGCCCACACCGTGGAAGGGTTCTTCTGGAGGTACCTGAAAAGGAAATTGGATTAGAGGTGGTCTTAGTGACCTGAGAGCGTGACCGCAGTGCCCAAGGGACAACTGCTTGAGGTCGGTCACACACGACCTTTTATGGGTAATTTTTGTGTTAGCTCCGTACTTGTTGAGACCTTACCGCCGGAGACGGATATCCGTGGGATAAGGCGAGGTGTGCATTTTTAGGGTCGACCTTTTCTAACCCCACCCCTCCTTGTGGGAAGGCAGCATCGCTGTCATGCTGGTTGTCTGAAGGAAACACCTTACTGCTGTCACACCTCTGTACAGTCAGCAGTACGACTTCGCCTTCGGACCTTGGGTTTGTTGCTTTTAGTCTTACCGCTCTTCAACCGACCTGTCTGACATGGTAGGACCTTGAGGAACGGTTGTTCCAGCCAGTATAGCTCGGTTGCTTCATCACGATAGGCAAGCCCGACCACCACGTAAAGGTAGCAACAACGGTCAGGAAACAAATGTTGGTCACCTGCTACCATAAGACCATCTCCTGACGTTGATCCACTGCCTTGTGGATTAGACGCCTAGGTAAAAGGTTCAGGGAGTAGCCCCCTACGGAATTGACCTGCTGCGATTTTGGGGTCTGGGCAGTATTCCAGCCCTTAGAAGAATCGGGTGGTTTGTGTTGCGCATATATATTTGGAGCCACTGTACCAATGTTTATGTGTTTAAGTAAATAAATGAATATTTGTTAAAGGATATATATAGCTACACTACGGCAACTGTTATTAGCAAATAAAAACATTTTCTTCTACAGCCACCCCTATATCTTCTATCAGTAACAAGAGTCCAACAATGGTGAACTTTTTACTAATAAGCCAGTTAATATGTTTGGATTTATCTCCAACTACTTCTCATCAACATTAAAACACACTATTCAACTATTCTTCATCAACACATACCTTGATAAATTCTATTTAATCAAACGTACGCTTAGTTTTATAACGAAATAATTAATATATTTCCAGTCATAAATGAAGGCTCCATTTGTTCACTAAATCTTTGGTAACGATATTATACAAATATACATACAGAAGGTACATATCACACTTGAACGAATTTCAGGTCAAACAAGAAATTAGATTTGCATACAAACAAACAAGTGTTTAGTGTAGACTAATTTTAGGCCTTATATACCATTCAGTCAGTTAACGTAGGACTTAACACATACGTGAATCGGTCAACGCTGCCATATTAGAAAAGCCAGGTGAAATTAACAAGATTAATTGCAAGTGAATCGCAATAAAAGTAAGAAGGATTGAACACTGAAAATAATGACTACGATTATAACGCAAGCTCTAACCAGATAGTATTCACCTCTTGAACTGATGTCACCTATTGGTTTGACCCGAGCTAACTTCCAATCCACTTCTACATCGTACGTCAAGGTAGGTTATGGTTTGGTATAAGTGGATATGTCCCAGACACGCTATTCGATCAAAACTCACTGCCTAACTAACCGATATGAAAAATTGATTGAAACAATGCTAACGAAAAAGTACATTTCTATAATAAGAAAACAAAGATTATCGGACAAATGGAAAGTAAGAGGAAACAAAGAGTAAGAAAAATAATGTTCAAGACAATTTGAAATTTACTACGCTGGATAATAAATTAATATTACCAGGGTAGGTTTACGGTGAGAACAAACCGTTTTTGAGTTAACAAAGGGAGTTTGAACTTTTGTATGGCCTAGGCTTCAATAAACTCTGTATACGCCCTTTAACACTTTTGTACAACACCACAAAAGCCATGTCAAGATTAATCTTATGACCTGTTTCAATTATATGTTTGAGAATGGAGGACCATGAATGTTTATCATCTACTGTTATTGGGTCATTTAACTGTATTTACTTTTTCAATCATATAGGTGCATGTTCAAACACCCTAATTTGCAAATCACGATTACTCTCTCTCTCTCCCCACATGTGTGGCCACATACACACATGTAAACTGATGAGTATAGTAGGATGTGATATAACTGTTCAGTGTAAAATTTAGACGGCATGAAACTGATCAATTTCAGTCCTAAACATCAATGGGAAGATTCAAGCAACCAATAACAAATGAATTAAAGAGACCAATTGTTTCGCATTTTCTATTGGATCGAATGTAATATAAACCATGACTAAAATATGTTTCTATTCAATCAATTACAAAATTCTAATATTATAATTACAAAATTCATTCTAATTTCAATTACATGTTATTCACTTGTAATTGAAGTACTTTATGCATCAAAATACATTTGTCACTCTTCTTCTTTGGTTAGTACTATACATAAAATTGAATCACTATGTACAAAAATTGAATTCATCAAACCACTTGAAGATAAATAGTAATGATACAGTAATTAATTCATTACAAAAGCATTTTATTTAATCAACCAATTTAATGATGCTCTAAACATATTCACACAAATAACATACACATTGTAAGGTGATGTTATACATATTATTTAATGAAATTTTTTTCTTATATTCTACGAAAAAATCAATAATGACAGGTATTATTGATCTGTTGTAATTATGAGTGAAGTTTTAAGAACAAGTTTTTCCGCATTCTTTCATATATTGTATAATTGAATTAAGGATAATAGAATGATTATTTGAGTTTTACTTATGACGATTCAATGAATGAGTCATTGAGTCCTAATGTAACCAAATAATAGTAGTACAATCTGGCATTTTATGGATTGATGTTGATCTAGTTACATTTTGATCCATCTAGATCTACATATGCCTAACTGTGAAAAATAATTTTTAGAAGTGAAATCTCTTCACTCTTTCAAACTTATGTTGACTTTCTGAGTGAATTTTGTAAATGAACTATTCATAAAATAGGTATCATTACCAAGGTTTGATTTGATAATTTCGAATAAATTGAGCATTAGGTTGATTGTTATAAATAAAGAATAATATATTTGTAATATCCCAATGAGTAGAAAATTAGATTTTCTGACGTTTCGTGACTTAGTGTAAGTCACTTCTTCAGAGAATAATATAAACTTGTTCAGACCTGTTTTTGATTGATCAAATATTATTCTTGCATTGTTCCGTTGTACTATTTAAACTTGGATTAATTTTAATTTGGTTATTTATTCTCTGAAGAAATGGCTTACACTAAGTCACGAAACGTCGGAAAATCTAATTTTCTACTCATTGGGATATTACAAATATATTATTTTTTATTTATTCATAAAATATTTTATATTGTCAATATATTATTCAAAAGCGAAAAACTGGAAATGAGATGCAAAGTTGAGAAGTTGGATAATAATTAATCCTGAATTTAACGTCCTAGAGATGTGATGATTCTAGAATCTAACAATGTCAACTTTACAAAGCAATCAGGCTTTCCGATGTTAAAATTTCAGTGGATTAGAATAGGTTTTATGAATCTTAGTCGTCTATAACGGACATCAATTAGTGATTTGTGTAGCTTAAAAAGAGAATAATATTCTTCCATAAATTAACTGGGCTTCAAGGCTGCTAAACGGTCTGCTCCGACGACTATGAAACAACTGGCTGTGGGTTTGAACAGTATCAAGGTTCATACTCAGACTATCAGATGATAAGCAAGAACTATAAAGTCTGATACAGGAAAATCAATGGAAAAAGATGAGAGACATGTCATACTAATGTAGTGTAAGTGAATATCTACAAATTCATCAATCGACTAATATCCTACATTACTGACTAGATGATTACATCATGGCTCAAAAGAGTAAAAATGACTACTAACACAATTTTGAAAATATAAATGAAAATTTGAAAAACGATATAAGTAGAATCTCCATCTCGTTACCTGTAAATGGATACAAGGCATTGCAGTCACCAATAGCAACGATCTGTGATTCTCTTGACTGTCTATTACTATTATTATTATTATCATCTTGTTTGTGATAAGAACTAGAGGATATTGAACAAGTGGAATCAATATTATCGACTATGCCTTCAGTTACTTGTTGTTCGTGTTTAAGGTGATGACGTAATGACTGGTCCTGTTGTTGACACTTTTGTAGTTGTGAGTACCAAAGTCCTTGCTGTTCATGTTTTTTTAAGAGATTTTTATTATGATTATATAAAACTTGATCAGAATTTTTTAATTCCAAATGATTATAAGATGAATTCATTTGAGAATAGATTGTGTTATTATTGTGATTAGACTTTAAATTAATATGGTGAGAATCTCCATTTATTGTTGAACATTTACTATTATCATCATTATTATTAATTGTAGATCTATTAGTGAATGAATTTTGTTTTAAAGTAGGCATTTGACCATTCAATGGTTCAGGTAGTTGACTGCGTGATGAGGTTAACGTTGACTGTGAAGATGATTCAACTGGAGTTACAATAGAACCAGTTTCTGGTTCAGCTAAAGGAGCAGTAAATAATTTATCCTGTTTTAATAATTGTTTAGAGGAACCACCATTTTCCATTGACTTTCCTGATGTAGTAGGATAATAAAGAGGGATGGAAGACCTTTCATGACCAGACGATAAGCCTTTCGCTTGAGAGTCAGAACGAGAATGAAGAGATAGTGAAGGAGTATGAGTTGTTGTTGTTGTTATCGTCGTAACAGGAAGAACAGCAGCAACCGCACCACAGCTGGGAGCATCAGGAGATTGACATGACGATGCCACAGACTGAGGTACTCCATTTAGGACAGATGTTGATGCATAAGCTACATTATCATTGTCAGTGGTTGAATGAATTCTAAATTGTCGTACATAAGTGTTATTGTTGATAGTTATTTTGTCATTTCCATGACCATTATTTCCTAATTCAGAATTCGAGTCAGAGAAATCACTAGGATCTGTAATAGCATTGTCCCTTAACCTATTATTACTACCAGTAATTCTAGAATTATGAGTTGCTCTCCTTTTCGAGTCAAACAGACTAGATAGAAAAAGTAAATTTTAAAAAAAAACAGAACTACAGAAATTTTGGAAGCTGATGTTAGCTGAACTCATCAAATCAAATAGAAACCAATCACATAAACCATAAATCTTAACAGATTCTATGAGTAACTTTTAATATTAAAGTTTTGATATGAACTTAAGTCTCCTTGAAACAGATCTCCTTTATTATAAATATATTTTTCTTCTAGTCTTTTAAGTTCAGTATAATTTGATGGTGATAACTGTAAAACCAGTTACGCACAATAGATTTCGTCATTTTTTTAAACTCACATTCTGGTACAGCTAAGCACCAATATAATAAACAATAAATAAGCAACCAAGTTACACTATCTCTAGGACCCCAAACCTGGACGTTTTAATGAATCGACAGATCCCAGTCAAATATGGTCTTTTGCCATATCACAGAGCCATTTAATAAGCTATTCGCCTTTATATTTTTTCCAACCAGTCACAGCATTGACAAATAATCTTTGATATAGAAAGCCACATGGATGGCATTCGCAACACATGGCCGGTTCATCGAAATCTCTTTTTGAAAAGGCTAGCACTAAATGAATTATTATCACTGTGCCTGAATACACATTTCCGAATCTCAACACTATTATTGTAGAGTTGGCACCAAATAACAGCAATCCTTCAGAGATAACGATGATCAGAGACGGATAGTTGTTGAATAGCCTCAACTTGGAGAAGGGGGTTTCATAAGCCATGAACTGAATGGCTCTCACCGACATCTAATACACCCAACCTTTTACAGTCAAACAAACATCACGAATGTTCTAAGTATAGCCCAAATTAGCATAAACCGCTCTGGCTTTAAATATGTGGAGGTTGATTTGATCTATCATGTAACCACCAGCACTAACACTGTGGTGCGTGCTACTTATATTGATGTAAGTAGTATATCACGCGAGTTAAAACGTAATATCTGGCAGCAGAGGTTGAGGTGAATATCAGAAAGCAAGAGCGAGAACACAATGGAATTTGTAAGAAAACGCATATACAATGGAATGGGAGACAATGGATTAGTGTTTGCAACAGAAACAGTCAGTTTGATATGATACATTGATATTTTGCAAATTGACTTTATGGTATTCAGATTTTATTGAGAGTCTGTAATTTTCGTGCTAAATACAATCAGTTACCCTCACCTGTGTTCTTCACAACAACACTACTACTCGAATACTCAAACTTTCTGACTTCTTCTAAAGGCTCACTACCAAGAGAAACTGGAGATAAAGGATTCTGTCAATCTTGTAGAAGTACATTGCATTTAGAAGGTACAAATTACATGCTATACTAACGGATACTACTAATTGTTAATTGATTAATTGCAAATTCTAATGTATGAATCACCGCACATTAAGACAATGATATCCGTATACCCAATATCTAAAAGTCTTTTTCCAGGTAGCCGACTATAATAGTCAGGTGATGATGATCCGAATTCTGTTTCGGATGTTAAATAGTAAGTTTAGAAATCAAGATAACCAACTAGTCTTTTTGAAGTAATTAACAGACACGTTATAATGAACTTTATAAATCATTATTATTCTCTGTGAAACAGAACGAGGTATACTTTGCAATTGTTAAATATGTATTCAGTTTAAGAAACTGAATAAAAATATATAGCTGTGTCTATCATGCTGTTGGGGATGTTAGATTCCCAGAACTCAGTTGGTAAATGCCTTAATTTTGTAGTTTTATTTTGGAAATTTAAATTACATTGTTTTCGCGCCAAAAGCGCTTTTTTCACCTTCATGTCGTATTTCCCACTTGGAAGAATCTTTAACGCTATTGGTCCGTTGTGTATTTTTAGTATGCTATTTTTGCAACGCTTCCAAAGACAGTTTTATGCTGTATAAATACGTTTGTGTCTGTTATTATTCACTCGTGCTTCTGGCTTATGGAATATACTTTCCCGTTCCAAGCTTGGACTTCTTCCTCTAGTTAGCGGGGCTGGGACGCATCAAATAGCCAGCTTATTGGTCTAAGGTCACAAGTCTTTGCTCCGGACGCATACTAAGTGAACTAGTAACAACTTCAAACCTAGCACATGCAGCAGGCATGACATGGTTAAAAGCACTTTTCAACAATTATTATACTTTACCTCAGGAATTGATTTCAATTAGATAACCAATGAAAACGGGAAAGCATCAGATAGCTATTTAGTCCTAGTATGAGACACCTATGTAGTCCACATCCACAACTTACCAGAGAACGAACCCAGGACCTACGGTTTCGTGTCGCGCGCTCAACCACGAGATCACTGAGCTGCTATCCAATGGTGTACATGTCTAATTTTAATCAGCAATATAGTGCAACCATTAATAATTATTAACCAATTTACAAATTGATTTAGACCATTTAGCCAAACTACATTTTTAAGACAAACAAAATCGTGCGGATCATCATGATAATTGGACCGTTTTGTTCCGTTAAATACTGAAAAGTCGGTTTCTAACCAACACTACCAACCATGTTTGTTAAAATACACATCGCAATTTGAAATAAACCCAAATTTAATAGCAAAACATCGTAAAACTCTTTCTCATATTTCAATAATGTCATAGAGTATAACACTGATACGCAAGTCCATACGTATTAATCATAAACACATGGTGGGGGAGATTTCACTTTTCGAAAAGCCATGTTATCGATCTCAACTAGGCGATGAAATATGACACTTTGTTTAGACAAAAAAACTCATTTTGTCATTCAACCAGTGAGTTTCGCGTAGTCAGTGACATAACTGTTCTGATGATTACCAATTGTAAGAGTAAATACTAAAAGGGCTGAATAATTTCACTTAACCGACGCAAGAGTTGTTTTAACATCAGTACTTGGATGTATATTTACAACTAGGTAATAATATATAGATTTATGTAATCGGCTGATAGACAATTTTCCGTGTACGTTCAAGGACCTATAATGCATTAAAGCTACCTCAACCATACAAGATGAAGCATGGCTGAAACAAGTTATTTAAAACCAGTTAGATTGAGCATCAAGAATTAATGATATGAGCAAATTAACAATTTGTTTACTTCAGCCATTTGAGCAGTTTTGTCGGTCAATCACGCATTCGTAACAACGCTAATCTATTTTGATATCAGATGGTTAGAGCTAAACCTTATTACTGATTAGACGTAGGATTTCGTACTAGTTGGCATTTGTTAGTCAAATCTATTCAAGTCTATATTTGTTCAGTAAACACAACGGAGAACTTCGCTTCTTCGGATTGAGATTTCGCCACTTATTTTATTCGAAAATACATATATCATTCTTTATTCTACACTATATTAATAACTAATTAATCGTGCTTTCATTTGTTCTTTTTCTATTGTGGATTTGAAGAAATAAAAATTAACTGTAGTAATTAATAATGTTGTTTCCTTAGTCCAATGAGAAATATAAGTGTTTAAGAAAAACTAACTCATTATATTTTAGAGATTTATCGAAAGTGCACTAATGTGAAGAGAAAAACAGAAAATGACCATTCCTACAAAATCCATTCGTTAACAGATTTATTCTCTCAGTAAATTATTGTTGGTAATAATAGTATTAATTTTGTGCGCCTTTCTGTGTATGTGTGTGTGTCCATTTAAGGTGTACCAGCTGCAATAGTGAGATTTATCTGGTTACAGAGAATATTGAAATAACTAATCTATCAGTGTGTTCTGACAACTCCGTACTTTCGATTTACTGGAACTCTTTACTTCGTCCGACAATTGTAGCAACTTTTAAGTCACGTTTCTCAATACACTACTTACAAATAATCTTGTGAGTAGCGTGCACTACAACCAAACCAGGTCTGACAGCGAAATGTCGAAATGATTGATTAGGCTCCATTGGTTCCTAGATTCGGTGATTCAATTTATTACTTTACTTTTTGAAGATCATGTAATAATCTGGTCAATATATATATATATATATATATATATATATATATATATATATATATATATATCATATTATCTTCAACAAATTAGTACAATGAAGAAAAAAAGGATAACTAAACTGTACACTTATCACTTGTCCAACACACAAAATATATAATTTGAAGTAAATGATTAACATTCAAATCGAAACGAGAATACTCAAAGAAAAACTTTTTGAACACAAACAAAAAAATATTATTTACCACGTGACTTGATTATTTGCTTTCTGATGTTTGATTCGAGCTGGTTCGCATAAATCCGCTACTGTTTTTAAATTCACAACGCTCTAAGACAAAAAAGCGGAAGCAAGAAATAAGAACATGAGTCAAAATTTATGCTAAAATATAATTAGCTGTTGAATATACAGTAGATAATTTACATCATAAACTGATGTCAACTGGAGAAATGCTAGAACTGAAGGAAGTAAACGATAGCCACTTCATTCAAATTGAGCACTTTCCAGAAAGACATATTTACAACTTTATACAAGATTGAACTTACATTATCTTAAGTACCATGACAAGCAAATCATGATAGTTAAATACTATAAATAGCAGTAACCTTGTGTGCACTCATTATATTTGTCTACCAAATAGTAGACGTGTATGTTTAATATATGAAAAAAATAACCAGGACATATAAACCATGAGAAGAATAATCAACAATCATGATTGTAATCAAACTACATTTGCTTGTGTATCTGTGCTTAATAATGATGGAAACAAACAAACAAGCAAAATTTAGACAGATAACAAACTACGCACAAAACACTAAGCCATATATGTGTATATATGAAGATTATTAAAAAGTAAAAATCAAAGATGTATAATGCGTATGTGATAGGAGGCATGGGAATGTGAAACATTCAGTGATCAGAAAATGAGGTGAAATAGAAAAAGAGATGAAACCCGCCAAAAAAATGAACACAGAAACACATCTAATATGAACAATACCAGATCTCCGGTACTCTGTGAAGCTCTAATATTCAATGGACTCTTGATACCGATTCTATCATCATTACAATTATCATTGTTGTTGTAATCAGTTGTTCGCTGATGACGAGAGGAGAATTTCTTACGAAAACTATGAATCCGACGTGTTTTATGTTGATATTGACGTGAACTTCTACGCCATGGAACAACAGGTTCAAAAAATTGATTCGACCAACCTGATACAACACCATCTCCATCAGAATTAGCTTCACAATTTACATTCAATGAATTGTGCTGATGATATAGATTAATTTTATGATTTATACAGTTTTGATGTAGCAAAGACAACCCAAAACGAGTGTATAATCAAAATAAAATAGAGGAAAAATATAAAAGACATTAGATTAATTGTCCACATATTGGCTTGTAAATATTAGTTATAATTTGATTATGTCATTATTGGTTAGTTACATAGACTGGTAGCCAAAGGGAGGGAGCAGATCTTCACATAGGATATAATCAATGATAACTCCAACAAATATGAACAGCAATAAGCGAAAACATCTAACTAACCGATATCCTAACGTTCAAATGAACGGCTAGTTGTCAAATTACAACATAGAGTAAGCAGTGTAAAAGATAGATACACGATGATCACAAGTTCTAATAAAATAACGTCAAGAAATTTCGACGAGTGGAACGTTGAAGCAACTATATAATTTTCGAGTCGGAAACCCAGTAGGACATGGCACTCTAATATCATATTTCTTCCTATGAGTATCGATTGGTTTGATAGCAAAATAACTGTCACAACAGAAGAAAATGGTATTCTTGTGTAGATCGATTTTCATGTGAATCATGACAAACCGTAATCCCATATTTAAACACCATCTTGTTCACAAAAACCACTCAACCACAGATCATTAGATAAATCTAACCAATTTACGAAAACATTGACGGATGATTTGAGACATATATTAAGTTCCAAGCTTCCTTGTCAGGATTTTTGAGATAGTAGTAATGTATGATTAGAGATCATAGGTAACATAGTTCAAAATTAACGTTACGGTAGCATCTTACAATGTATTCTTTTTTATCTAAATTTTACACTTTGTCATACACATTTTAGTTACAAACTAATGTATTATTTCAAATAACTTTAAATTCATAATGGTGTGGACCTGTTAAATTTTACTGAACTCCCATTGAATTTTTATACGCAATTTTATTCCTTATTATTTGATGTATGGTTAGTCTCATTATTTTATTTAATTATTTTCTCGCTGTGCTGACTTGATTAAAGGAATGAAAAGTCGGTATGTATTACTTTGCCTGTTGTATTTATACTACTTTGTTGCAGGTTGGAACTCTTCTCTTCCTACTCTGACATAAGCAGTAAGTTGATACCACAAATACCTTTTAAAAAAAACGTGTTAATTCGAAATATGTACACGAATATCGACTTTCAAATGTTCTAACCGATAATGTGAGATTTTTATATTTTTTCCATGTCTGCCACCTACCAATCAGGTCATAATATACTACTAATAATATTACTAACAGTAATAATGACAAGAGACAAGAAAAATAAGAAAAAAACAGTGAACTAAACAAAGACGATAGTAACGAATAAATAAAAATTAATGGCGATAACAGTAAGAAGACAGTAAGCAAAAAACATAACTAGTTTTTACATGAACTTTAACCACACCTAATCATGAGAAAAAATGTAATTAATGGGATTGAGAATAATTTATGGTAAGGGTGACACTAGCAGGTGCAAACAAGACATTCCTTATCTATCAATAAAAAACATGGATTGGCTGTTTATTGTATCAAGTGATTATTTATATGAAAATTTATGAGGAATTATCCAACTGTAACTTCTACTCTGATATGGTAATCAGCCATGCCTAAGTGTGAGTAATTGGTAAGTGACAAATCGACCCACATCTTTAAAATCACTTGATATTATCTTGTCCACGTTTAAATCTTTTCTCTCTTCCTAATATTCCATCTATCCTTACTAGCAATCCTTTTCTGATGGTTTCATCTTCATCCGCATGAAGTGTTGTTTGTAATCTCCGGAAAATGCGCACCAAACCTTATAACAAATCTAACAATATACTTTACTAATTAGGGCTCCAGAATCCCGTTCTATTGAAATATGTTGCATCTCTAAAACTGTCTTGTATTCATTCGTCTAATTCCACTTAGTCAGTAACAGAAATCGGCAAGATTTACCCTTCGCAAATCTGGGGATTTGACTTCTACTTCTCAAAGCGTCGTTGTCGTAGGTAAAGTATTAATTTCCAAAGTACAACAGGCTCCCTTGGATTAGATCCCGATAAACAGGTGCTTATGTGCTGTCCCAACAAATGGTATGGTAGGAACCTAACAAAATAGAGACTTAGTTTCTCTTTACGCTCTCATTGACTGGAGTTCCGATAGAAGTGTTTTACAGAAGGCTTTTAACCCCACTGTTCAAAGAGCTAAACCTTCAGACATAGTAAGTGTTATCCTGAAGTACAAAGATCTTCGCATGACGACTGTTGGTAGAAACCAAAGATTTTAATGTGATGTATATGGAAATCTCTTCACATGGAAAGGCGATTCGGTAAGAAGCTATTCGTAGAAAGCGGCGATTTCAGCGCAATAAGTTTAGAAAATACTTCACTCGAAAATAGCGGTTCGAATATAAAGTCTAAAGTAATCGTTTATAAATAATTAACGGTAATTTAAAAACGAAAAAAAATATGGCAACAGTAAGTAAGAAGCCAAGGATAAGACAATATCAAAATACCGTACATCAAATATTTGGTAGATATACATTGAAAATATATATATGTTAATTCACCGAACAATAGCTTTCAAAGTTTCTCACTACTTTATTCACCCAACCATAGCAACAAGTGACCAGGTTTTTTAAATACTCTTGTGGACATGAAAACCAAAAGAAGTGATGCGCAAATATTTGGGACATAGATATGGGAAGTCGTTTTTATTAAAATAATCCCAATGCAAAAAGATTCCAAATGGGCATCATAAAAATAAAATCAAATACGTTAACTAGTTAAAAACCCTCAATTATAACTCTACCGATTAATGAAGTCAGTTGAAAAATGGATTCTGAAATGTACTGGAGATTATAACACGAGCCAATAAATAGAGAAAACGACATTACATGTAGCATATTGGGTTCTGGATACTCCTTTGCCTAATGTATCAACATTTATGAACGTGATACAAGCAACTGATATAAAATGGTATAATTATTATAAGATGTAAATATGACAAAGGGAAGAGTGCAAACAAGAAAGGGTAAGCAATTTGTATTCTAAGTAAAGAGGGTTTTCGGAAAACAAGATACGAATCCGAGCAAATGTCACATTCATAAAGCCGAGAACATGAAAGCGTCGACACATCCTAACAGTCAGAAGAATATTGGATAGGTTGCATGTGACTAGCAGCGGAATTCAGTGTGTTTTGTCCTATTTGAAACTCGTCAGTTGGATGTACCTGCATCCAGGAGTTTATATTCACTACGAGACTCGAACCCGTTGCTGTATGCTTCAAGCTCCATCGCGTTATCCACTTAGCTACTAAGTCCAGATGGACACTCGTACAACGGGTATGAGATTTAATTCAACTTGACGAGTCCCAAATAGGAAAACATGCGCGCATTCTGTCTATTCTATATCAACTTGTGTCATAATGGCTCTATCGAAGCGGTACAGGATGTCCATATATACCAACTAAGACATCAGATTTTAGTCAAAAATACCAACGGGATAATCTAAACCATTTCAAATTAAATCAGATTTTAAAATGGTTTATGGGTGATGTATAGATATAAGGATGTGTCTATATATATCCCAATTAGGATGGTTAGGTGGCAGAAAGAAAAGTTACTTTTCGTTCCATAGGAAAAAGACGTTTTAAGAAATACATCTACCACTCAATAAACTAGTAATGAGCATATGATTATTATTTAGTTTTAAGGTTTGTGGAGATTTGTTTAATTTCGAAGCTGGTTTTTTTAAACCGCTGAGAAGTGCCCAAATTTTTTACTTTTTTTAAATAAATGATAGTTCTGATTTGCAAAAAAAAGCCTTTAGAAAATTTTATCTAAGTCATATTATCCCACTGACCTGTGCTATTATCGAACTGATTGTTTTTGCTTCTAGTTTGCTATTTTCGTTGTATCCTAAAGGGATAATTGCTGGTATATAGGCAGAGATGTTCTACTGCAATTTCGACTTTGAATATCAATTTAATCTTGAGTTTCTGACCTATGTCTTTAATCGAGTAGTGGATTATTGTTGGAGTGTTACGTATTATGCATCCAGTCTATCTAGTTCGTGCAGACGATGCTCCGTACTAGAAGACTATTCAAACCTATCGTAATTCAGAATAACCGTAAGGTATCTCAAAACAGAACGGTAACAGACTAATATTAGCAGAAGAATAACTAAAAAATGTCCTCAAACTGAATCATCACTAGCAAACTATGTAACTAAATAACTGATTAGTATCACATTTTCAAAGAAAATTTATTGATATAAATTTTACGAACATGTAATTTCCCCTTATTCATGGGAGATAAGTCATTAAGCATCGTGAAAAGAAACCGAGGCTAGGCTTAAAAAATGCAACACATACATACACGCACATTTTTAAATCGTTGAAGACCACAGTCTCTTTCAAAAAAAGGAATTAGATCAATCAATCAATGGAAAGTAGGGGTGAAAAGAATCAGAGACATGCACATCTTACTGAACACAAATATAAGTATAAGTAGATTAGAAAGCCGATTATTAAGCAAAACATTTAACGGTTGCACCAGAAGGCGTTACGATTAGAAAATAATAAATATATTCTCATGTATGTAGAATAAGAATATGCAAGCTACAAACAATACAAATGGATATTTTATTGCACCTCTCTATTTCGGTCAGTTGGTAAATTACAGATAATAATAATGAGAAAAACACGTTAGATGAGTTATTTACATTAACGTGTTTAAACAAGCCAATTTATTACTAAAAATAAACCGACCGATCATCTGTGGTACGCACGATTTATCAGTCTGTTGGAATTGTCACTATAATGAATGTTCAATGTTAAAAATATTTACTTCTTTATTTTTTCAAGCAAATTGACTGAGAGAATTAGGGCATATTATAAAATCAAGTTTAATTCCACACTGTATTAAGGTCAAATTGTGTGAATAACAAAATATTGACCATCTAAAACAATACAGATAAAATCACTCACATCTCTACTGTAAACAG